TGATTTGTGTATATATTTAAATATAGGATTTTATTCAAAGGACTCATATAGTTCAAAAGTTTTTTTCTTGTTCATTAGATATTTATTATGGGATTATCACACAAGAAATATCTATTGTTGTTGGAAGATGATGTTTCACACTCACCAGAGCCGCCACCAGGGCGGTATACTTTTCAAAGTTTGGCTTAGGGCCAAAAAAGATGGTAATTCGGGCCTGATTTGATTTACGTAACAGCTTTGTTTAAAAACTAGTTCGGAAAAAATAAAGAACAAATCTCATTTTGTTGACATTTTCCTGGGTTAAATCTGAATTACTCGTGTGTATTCGTGAAGAATCGGCTCACATAATCTTAGGTCCGAACTTGCTAATATTGTGTTCTTTACGATTACGAGATAACATAGTGGAACAAACTTAGTGAATCGCCTCATGTGGAATTCCTAAAATAAATGTGGTTAATGTAATGTCATACATTTTTTAGAATAAGTTTTCCACTTTTCATTTATAACCATAATGACTTCAATTATAGTAGCTCGAGCATTAGCTCCAGGTATTTATCGTATTTATCTTTGAATTAATTGATTATTTGATTTAAACACATTTCTAGCTTTTCACCATAGTTTGAAACAACTTCTCACTACCAAAGGAGCTGTTTTTCAAATTCAGAATTATTGCAAAACTCTTCAAGTTGTGGTACCTAGGATCAACCAAAGGCGTTTATATTCTGAAAAGAAAGTTTTTGAACGTACAAAACCTCATTGTAATGTAGGAACGATAGGCCATGTTGATCATGGTAAAACGACTCTCACCGCGGCTATAACTAGAGTTTTGGCAGAACAGAAACTAGCACAAGCGAGAAAATATCAAGAAATTGACAATGCTCCTGAAGAGAAAGCAAGAGGCATTACAATAAATGTAGCTCACATTGAATACCAGACGGAAGATAGGCATTACAGTCATACGGATTGTCCTGGCCATGCTGATTATATTAAAAACATGATCACTGGCACGGCCCAAATGGATGGTGCTATAATGGTAGTGGCAGCTACCGATGGAGTTATGCCCCAAACTCGAGAACATTTGCTTTTGGCTAAACAAATTGGTGTGCAGCATATAGTTGTATTCATCAACAAGGTAGATGCTGCTGACAAAGAAATGGTTGAATTAGTTGAGATGGAAATTAGAGAACTCCTAACAGAAATGGGATTTGATGGAGAAAACTGTCCTATAGTTTGTGGATCAGCTCTTTGTGCTCTGGAGGGAAAACAGCCAGAAATAGGTTATGAAGCCGTTCTCAAGCTTCTCAAAGAAATTGATACCTACATTCCAACCCCAATTCGTGAATTAGACAAGCCATTTTTGTTACCAGTGGAGAATACATATTCAATACCTGGTCGTGGCACAGTTGTCACGGGAAGGCTTGAGAGGGGCATTCTTAAAAAAGGTTCTGAATGTGAGATAGTAGGATTTAACAAAGTGTTGAAAACTACTGTAACAGGAGTTGAGATGTTTCACCAAATTTTGGAGGAAGCGCAGGCAGGAGATCAACTAGGAGCTCTTGTTAGGGGTCTGAAGAGAGATGATATTAAAAGAGGTAAAATAAAATCAATCACATTTCATCATGAAAATAAAATTCATTTACAATTAAAGTTTTACTGTTTTATGTTATATTGTTCCTGAGTATCTACTTATATGTTCTTACCATATTATGGTAACAAGTAAACAACTAAAATCTCAAAAACAACTCAATAAAATTAACTTCAATTTCAAATTATGAAAAATGAACCACTTTATAGAATGTGTATAATTGACAGTAAATATAAATGAATGAATATTTGATTATACCTCTGAATTTGTGTTGAAATCTACTGATATTTAATAAAAAGTATGATGAATGTATTGAGCAATACTCCATTTCAACATCATCACAAAATGTTTTAGAGAATCGCAACATATTTTATTACCCATAACTTCTTCATACATGTGTAAGACTTAACTAGACAGTGCTTCATCAGTATATGAATAAATGCAATTTTAAGGAATCACTGATATTCAATAATAATAATGATTAATATTGTGTTGTAAAAACAAGCTTAAATGATGAGGTAAATAATATTTTACTTTTTGCATTTTATATGACAAAATGATAATAATAATTTCAGTTTATTCAACAAAATTACAATTTTGCTCAACTGGCTGTTGTCTGAAATCCTTCCGTTTGAGAGGTTGTAGGGTTCCAGTGATCAAATATAATGAACTGAGACTCAGATGAATTTGGCTGGAGTCTTATCGAACCAGTTGTTCGTTGTTGTAGCAAAATTATTATTACTCTTTATTAGTAAATAATGCTCTTCATAGTTCAGTCAGCCACTTATAAAATACAAAACAATAAAAAATATATATATAAAATTAGAGACAAGTCANTAAAACGCTACGGAATGTTTCTGCAGCACACAACTATATAACATTATAAAATACTATAGGATATAGAATTAAAATTAAACTTGTTACTACCTTATGTAAACAATTACCAACTTAAATTATTCAATGATTGTTTAAAACGACCATAAGAGACACCAAAAATACTGATGTTTTTGTCATCTACTAACTTTAGGGTTCTTTCCAAGGGTGTATGTTTGCCATAATTTGTATGATGGAAGGGTATATGAAATAAATTACTGTGTCTAAGATTCCTGTTTGGAACATGAATGTTGATAGATTCAAGTAATTCAGGACAAGTTATTAGTCCATTGAGCAGCTTGAATGCATAGCATAGATCTGCATGAATTCTTCTGATTTGCAATAGTTTCAGCACCATTTCTTGTAATATACTCGAATAGTCATTTGTATTTAAGTTTGTATTTGAAGACCCAACTTGAAAGAACAAAATCTCAAAAATTTATTTTGCATATAAAATGGAGACCAAATGATACATGCATATTCTAACTTAGACACCACTAGAGCTAAATAAATCCTTTTTAATGCTTTAATGGAAAATCCTAAACAATGATGTAAAATAAGACCCAGTGTTTTGGATAACTTCACACTCACTTGGTTATTATGGTTAACAAATTTGAATTGTTCGTCAAAAATGATTCTGTATCCAACCCTGTAACATTTTTATAATTGTTCTTGTTCAGAGTTAGGGTTTCAACACCTGATCAGAAAAACTTATTGATTAAGTCATGGTCCATAGAAAACTTTCCCGCTAATTTGTTTGTCTTTCTCGCGAATTTGGGAGAAAAGGATATTGAAGAATTCTCTTACGTACCTAATGAAAGCAGTGTATATTTTGTGAGGAGACTTTGATGCCCCCGGTTAATCATCATATCCTACTATTTATATCGATGTTCTGAATGGGATAGGCTTTTTGGAAGTAGTGACGTTGGATCGTGGAATTTTTTAAATGGATCCGCAGCTGAGAGGACACTATTGCAGTAATGTCTTGCCTCTAGTATTGTTTATACATCTACTGCAATTTATGATTATCAATCCATGATTATTATTTAGTTAAATGTACAAGCACTATAGAAAACTTCTTGAAACACTTTGAGGACAGTACCTGTTCAAAACTATCTAATAATAATAAGGATTTTCACTTCTAATGATTGTTCTGCTCTTTTATAGAATAAATGAATGGGTTAATTTTTTTAAGGAATGGTTTTGGCCAAGCCAGGTACAGTAAAAAGCCATGATCATTTAGAATCCCAAGTTTATATTTTGAGCAAAGAAGAGGGTGGACGCAGTAAACCATTCACATCATACATTCAGTTGCAAATGTTCTGCAGGACGTGGGATTGTGCTGTTCAAGTTATTGTTCCAGATAAAGAAATGGTCATGCCTGGCGAGGATTCTAAGTAAGTAAATAGTTGCACTTGTCTTATATACTCTTTCATATTGTGGAATTAGAGTGCCAATAGAGAAGAGCAGATTTAGTTAGTTGTAGTTGTGAAGGATTGTAGGTCTTACATTATTCCAGAAAATTTCATATTTGGACGTGACATTAAAAAACTATCATTCAAATTGAAATTTTCAACTAGTATGTTTATCCCAACACAAACACTTTTTTTTCGAGTTCGAAAGCCGCGGATTTTTAGAATTTCTTCCTGACGTTTCGCTGGCTCAAGTGGCTAGCTTCTTTAGGGGTTTACATCCTGGATTAATATCCGATGAGTCAGATATTAATATATATGAGTGGTCAGCATTTGATAGTCAAATACAACAATATCATGTCCAAAGAATGTGATGTGACGTTAGAAGTTCCACAGGGATCAGTACCAGGACTTTTACTTTTTGTGGTATTTGTTAATGATCTCTCAGAACATGTTGACAATTGCCACATAAAACATGTTTGCAGATGCGACATTCGAATATAACTGGAAAAATCTCCTGTTACAATCATTGAATCTGCAGTTAATTCAATTGAAATGACGAATAAGAATACAAGTGATTCCTATCGCAATAAAGAATTAGACTTCAGACAAAATTTCATGCATCCAAATTGATCACATACAAACCGGTGTTGAGTTTTTTGAGGTGTTATTCAAATACATTGTGGGGAGTTTATTCACCGGCGTGACTGTCATGGTTTTACTACCCAACTATTTCAAGCGCACCATCAGGAACCATTTGTTGTGGTCTATTTGCCGCATCCACTATTGAGTTTAGTATGGAACTTGGTGGGTATTGATTGTTGAGGTCATGTCGAGTGTGACCAAGATACCACAAAACACTGACATGTTGCCAGTGTTTTGTGGTATCAGCTTCCACCCCAGTGTGATGCTGAGTGCACCAACGATTTGTTATGATCTTACTTTCTTACTGTCTCACTTTAAAAATTGATGGACTGGTGGCTTGCCTATGGGAATAATGGAATATTACCTTCAAGAAATCGGACGCAATTTAGAGAGAAATTTCATAAGGTCTTTTTCGTTACATATCTACGGAACCATATCACAGAACATTAAAAGACTACGAAATTGTTCTTTGGTTATAGGAGGTTCAGTCCCTTATTTCGTTCATAATGGATCGATTACACTTTAAACATATTCTTGTTTCTTCTCCTATGATGAGAGGGGCACCACCTCGTGCATGCCGCCTGACACTGTTCCAAATGTTCTTCTACATGAAGAAGTTTGTGACGAGCTGGTATTGATCGGGTATCGCATACAAAGAAATTTACTTGATTTTGATAGGCCATGATGATTTGGGAATATTCCAATATGAGATACAACTGATGACTAAAACATCAACCGATTCTCTAACTATTAGCAAATACTTACATTTCGTCAACATTCAACATATCAAAATATGTTTGCTATCTACATTCATAACTGACAGCAATCGAATGACATTTCAAGGACTGCTCTATTTTGGATATGGAATAATACATTTACTTGCATAGAAAAGTAGCAGGTACAAGTCTGGGAAACAAAAACGTTCTTATTTCAGTACAGTATATTGGGTTTTGTTAATCTGATCTTTTGAAATTGCCTTTGGCTTTTTAAAAAACGTTAAAGAGGTAAAAAAAGAAATATGGCAGTTATCAATTTAAGCAAGTCATGTTTACACTGCTGAAATTAAGTGTACTACTTTTCTATACAAGCAACTGTACACATTTCGGGAATATATAAAACCAGACTACCTGAACTTGAAACCAGTATATCAAAAGACATCTTTTGAGAAATGAAATGGTTCTGGGATTGCAGGAAAATATACGCCCCTTCCACTTAGAAAAATCTGCAGTACTTTGGCCATGCTTGGCATGACACTTAACTGGCAGACACATTCGAAGCAGCATCGGAACTTTTCCGGAAATTGTTTTCCCCTTTTATTTTCCTGGAATATAAAATGAAAAAGATGGTCCTTATAGAATTTGTATTATATTTTCATACACTGTATGAAACATGAATCGTATTCGTATGCTCATACATATGCCTGAAAATATATTTACAGAATGAGACTGAGTTGCAACCTTTGTATATTCATGAATTCTCACAGAATGAAACTGAGTTGCAACCTTTGTATATTCAGTAATTCTCATTTCAGATAATTTTGTCTTTGAAATGTTTCGAAGTTTGTCTAGGAAACAAAATTATTTTCCGTTACAAAGGAATTATTGATTTTTGAGAAATTGATGAAATACTATACTTCAAACCGTGGCATTCGCGAGGTAGGCACTGTGGAACTTTTTGATCAAGAATGACTCGTCTAGAAATTATTTTAAAATTATTCCGAAACATCCCTTCTACTTATTTTTGGACCATCGCCGCAACTTTATTTGGATTCAGATTGATGAGCACAGACGTTGACACATTTGTATATATATATTAGCTACATAGTTTCAAAAAATAAGCTAAATACATTGGTGGAGGCTGACTGTACAAAGGGATACATTTTTCCGAAATTGAAAACATATTTTTGATCGCCCAGTATCTTCCAAATATTCAAAGATGGATGATTAATTCAAATGCATAATATAATCGCCCTCTCATGTACTGTAACTAACATCAATTGCATATGGATCAGCAGGGAAACGAATATTTTCTCGAAAAGAATTCGATAGAAATTACCAAAAACAAAGTTTAACCCTCTAGAAACTTTTGTGATTTGAACTTTGACCCCCTGTAGAATCTAAACGCCGTCATTCAGAGAGTTGCGCAATGGCAACTTTTGTTCATGATGGCATTGGCAAATCATGTTGAAATCAAAAAAGGGTTCAATGACTCTCTTCTTTGATTTAAGTATCTCCTTATTGAAAAGCTTTATCGAAGAAAAAAGTGTCAATGTAGGGGTACCCCAAGGATCTGTTCACTATCTTTTTCAATGACATTCATTCAGCATGCATACAATCAAAAAATATTATGTATGCAGATGACACAGCAATGATAATATGTGAAATAAATCTATACAGAACAGTACACACTGCAAACAATTTCGCACAACAAATTTATGAGGTGTGTACTACTAATGGTCTATGTGTCTATATAGAAAAAACAAAATTGATGTCTTTCATTCCGAGAAATGCTATTCTCATAACTTCTGCTCTTTAATAAAAATCAATGGCAAAGTGAAGAACAGGTCACAACTAAACTCTTAGGTGTCACTCTTGATCACAAAATGAGCTGGGAAAGTCATATCAAAATATTTAATAATAAACTAAGTTAAAATTGTTTTGTACTAAGGCAACTGAATGGCACGGTATCTAGGGACATATTAATGTTGGTCTACTATGGT